GAGCCGCCCGCCTCCGAGCGTTCCCGGCGAGCGGCCAGCCCGTACCGGGTGTTTTAAGTTTAGGGATCTCCTAGCTGACTCCCCGAACGTCAGCGCCCACGGGCGCCACCGCACATCTCAAGTGGGGCTTGCGGGGGATACTCCGCAGACTGGTTTTGTGGCGGGAGTTAGCTCCCAGAACAAAGCTCCCACCCCCGGGGCGGGGGGCGGGGGCGGAGGAGCCCGGACCTGGCTTCCTGGGATGGCCTGGCCGGGGGCGGGCCGAGCTGCCACTCTGAGCAGACCCCGGGAGAGCCCGTAAGGAAGGGCCGGGGCTCGGGCCGCTTGCGCCGGCCTGGGCGAATTGCATCCCGGATGGCCCGCCAGACCCACCCGGCTTCACTTCCAGGCCATTTGTGCTGCGTCGCTCCTGAAGGACCCAGAACCTAGAAAGAACCAGTGCTTTTCTGATTTTCGAGCAAAATCCATTTTCACACTTGCTGTTTCCATCCTTATGACAGCCAAAGAATTTGTTCCCTAATTTATTCGTAAGAGCTTTGCTTAGGATGACATGTAATCCGAAGAAAACATATCTTGTCACCCCCAGGATCTTCATACGTTTATCCTCATTATGGCTCCGTGTAAGGTAGGAGTCTGCCTCTTTTGCAGCCACTCAGAACGCTGTCACCATGTAAAGATTAGAGATCTATCTTTGATGGGGAAGATGGGGTGCGTTAAGGGGTAGGTGTGTTGTGTTGTCTTGATCTTTAAAATATACTGAAAACTAAACTGAAGGGCACAGTGGTTCAGGCCTGTAACCCTTAACTACTCAGGAGGCTGAGATCTGATGACTTTTGTTCAAAGCCAGCTGGGGCAGGAAAGTCTGTGAAACTATTATCCACAATTAACTTCAGAAAGGGAGCTGCGGAGCTGGGCGAAGGTGGCTCGTGCCTGTAATCCTAGCTACTCCAGAGGCTGAAATCTGAGGATCACAGTTCAAAAACAGCCCAGGCAGGAACTTCCATGAGACTCTTCATCTCTAATTAACTTACAGAAAACTGGAAATGGTGCTGTGGCTCAAGTGATAGAGTGCTAGCCTTGAGCTGAAGGAAGAGCTCAGGGACAGCACCCAAGCCCAGAGTTCAAGCCCCACGACCGACAGAAAAAAAAAATTACCTGAAATGGAGCTATGGCTCAAGTGGTAGAGTTCTAGCTTTAAGGGTGGGGAAAAATGCTCAGATCCTGAGTTCAAGCCCCAGGTCATTCATATATATGCA